GACCAACCCAGATATTTGCCTTTCAAATCGTTTATACGCGTCAATTTAGCAGATAAGTATAAAGCAAAAATAACTTGTACACCGTTTTTACTTATAATTTCTTATCGATCGATAATTTAAATTGGTTCAAATTTTTATTAGAATGAATTTCTTACTATCGAGAGAATCTATGCAGCACAATCAAATTCCTATAAAGAAATACTAATTCTAATGAAAAATTGAACCAATTTAAATTACTAGTCGCTAACAGGGATTGGGTACAGTCTCTATCCAAGAAAATCATTGAATATACATATCGATATTAATAATGTTATTTTGGTAATCATTAATCGATTACTATCGTTATCGATAGAAATTGATTACAACCCCAATCGATTGTAATCGATAAAATTGATAGTAATTACAACCCCATATTAAATCTATCTGTTATACGTAGCAGTTTGCAAAATGTGAAATTTGCAGATCATCAAAAAAAAACTCACTGAGAAATCGCGATTTCTTAAAAGTATTCCGATATAGTTTCATATCCAGATATCGGAGTAGTTTAAGAAATCAGAAAATCGTGATTCTTAGTGATTATTGTTGAACCTTCAAAACCGATCCTGTCAAAACCGCCAGGTTTGTTTTTGATATATAAATCTGATAGTTTGCTATGTTTTCAAATCCGATAACCTCTCAATGCTGATGATACAAAACCTGTCCACCATGCATATCGGTTTTGAGAAGTTCAACGATACTTTTTTTTAATGATGATCTACAAATTTTGCAAAATATATACGATATAGGAAATTCATTCTATCTTTCGCAGATCAGTATGGTATGGGGTGATACGATACGAATTTAAAAACTATACAATCTCTGCCATATTGATCTGCAATCTTGCACATTGTATTAGAAGATACCGAATAAGCATGTCGGATAAATTATGCATCATAAATTTGTATGCAGATCATTATAAAAAAAGTAATCACAAGAAATCTTTTTTTGGTCTGCAAATTTCACAAAATTTGCAAACCGTTATCGCCACGTAATAAATTCCCTTTAACTTATTCGTTCATGATATCTTAACGGTAATTCTCGGGAAATGGTAACCCCGTAAAAGACACCTTCGCAAATATAGACAAACAGCAAAATATAACTAGAGATGGGCACTATGCAGCATGGTGCTTAATCGTCACATATTATAATTTATGTAAAAGATTAACGTCCGATGTGATTTTCATAATTTTAGTCATGTAACAATTAAGCACCATGCCAATGCTGCATAGTGCCTATTTCTAATTACTAGCTCTCGGACCTGGGCGATGCTCTGGGAGTGCAGTTTTAATTTTATTTGGTTTTTAAGTTTTTTTTAAATAGAAAATGACATATTACTGGTAATGATGAATTGGTTGGAGAATCATTATCTTTAGTTATACTAAAGGCTCTGCTAATGCTTTGGTCCCGCTTTTCGATTTTATCAATGGCTTGTTCTAGCTTAATGATTTTGGCTTTAAACTCAACATTTTCCTCTATAATTTGCTTTAATTTTGTATTCTCATGTTTAAGCTCTATATTTTCAGCTTCGAGCTCAGTGATACGTTGTTTTAATAAATCTAATTCGGATTGCATTTTAATAACTTTTTATATAAAGCGGATTTATTTAATTTTAATTAGAATAAATAAAACACGTAACAAAAACCGTCACGATTCGTGACGATCGGAATAATTATTTTTTTATGACTGAAAATTTTATTAATTATCTACACATACAAAAGTAAACACGATTAATACATGCGAAATCGAGCCACCTGGGCCAGCTTTAAAAATGAAAAAATACTGGATGAAGCTCATAAAAATTTAAGATTTGTTCTGAAGATTCCTGCTTTTTTTCTTATTTAATCTTTCTTCACGCAAAGGTGGGTTTATATCACTTACCTATCTGGTTCTCACCTGTTCTTCTCTGGTTGGTGATGAAACAGCGAGGCTTGGGTGGACATTTCGGGGTGGGAGACTATCGGCTTGTTCTAATGCCTTCATTAGTAAACTCTTATTCACAATCAAGATATTCCTTAAGGTTAATAATAGACGAATAAGAGTTTTAGTGTGTAATAAGTGTGGTGATAATGGAATTTCGGCATGGTCGAGATGAAAATATCTTGGTATGCCACCCAAGTCTCTCACAAGAACATTTAATCGTATAGTGATTCCTGCCACCTAAATTCCAACAACCCCGAACTGATTACTAGTTGGCCTACACAATGAATCTATAAAGCTCATTCCATCCAAAGTCTCTATCCATAATTTAACGTCATCATCATCCTTCTTAAAATTACAACAAATAATGCGAGAGCACTCTGCGAACATAAACTCTACAATCTTTCCATCATGTTTCAGCAACCCCATGATATCGGGTTTCTTTCCCATTCATTCTTCGTCCACTCCTGCATTTCTTCGAGCCTTGCTTGCTATGCTCTGGCGTTCTGCGGTACTTAAGCAAATACTGCCATTGAGTAGGTTCCCCAAACTAGATCGAAGCAAGGGCATTATAATATCCGAAATATAAGTAGGGTCCGGAATCAGGCCGGGCTACCTGGGCCCGAGCCCGCAAAAGTCCGGGTCGGGCCCATATTTTTAGGCCCGTAATTATCGCAGTCCGGGTTCGGGCTAAGCCCGCTAAGATACTGGGTCGGGTCGGGCTTATTACAAAAAAGCCCGCGGGTACCCGATAGGCCTGCTAAATTTTATAGCTATTGATTTCGACATATTGAATAAATACTTGGATTAATAAAAGGATACCGATACGTATTTAAACACTTAAAAAATAATAAATCATCTACGTGCGTACATAACACCAGTATTTTGCTAGTTACACGGATTGATATTTAAGATAAATAGTTTTTTAAATTTGTGGTTCTTTTTTTTATTACTAATCGACTTTTAGTATCGGTATCCCATTGTGGAGTTGTCATCGTTTCTGAGTTGTGCCTTCATTGGTGTAATCAGTGGGGATTTTGGCTTTGATCACTTTGATTTGTGGAGTAGTTAAATTCAGGATAGTGTAGTAAATAGAACCAGATGCAGCACAGTAGTTACAACTACAGTAGGTGAAGCACAGTAATTAGAGAACTGGTCATAGTACAGTAGTTAGATTCGGGATGTTAGAACTGGACGTAGCATGGTAGTTAGATTCGGGATGTTAGAGCTAGACGTAGCATGATAACTATATTCAGGATATTAAAACTAGACGTAGCATGGTAGCTAGAATTGGACTTAGCACGGTTGTTAGAGTTGGGATATTGGCTGGACGTACTTAGCACGGTCGTTAGATTTGGGATATTGGTTAGACGTAGCGTTGTAGTTAGATTCAGGATGTTAGAACTAGACGTAGCACGGTAGTTAAATTTGTGATGAGAATTATAGAACAGACATGGTATAACAGATTGTTGGTTTTGATAGGATCGGGTATACTGTAGTGGGATTCATTGTGATTGGCCAATTTTTGTAGATCACCCGTGATATAGTAAAAGTTTTATTGGTTAATTGAAATTAATTGAAGTTTTAAACTTTAATTAAATCATAACAAAGAGAAAAACTGTTATATATAAAAATAACTAGATCTATAATAAAATTAATACAAGCAGAAGTTTTTGTCATAAAATCTTGATAACTTAAATCAAAACTATATTTTTGTCACAGACAAAATTTTGTTAAACAAAATTTTATTAAAAAAATAATTTTAGTACAATAAAAAAAAAATGATCCAAAAACAAACAAAAAAAATAAAAAGTACAAGTAATAAATGCTTGAACTTATTTTAGAAACTAATAGCTAATAAAAAATAATAACAAATAACTTTAGTGACTACTCTAATATCAAATTAATCTTTAATTTTATTTACTATATAAACATTATACAGTTAAAGTACCATTACTTCACTTTAACTTTTTTTATTATTAAATCTACAAGCCTTATGATCTTAACTTCATACTCTTAACTTATATTATAGTTAAGTTTTTATATTAGTTAAAATTATGAAGAATAAGTTTTTCACAAAATTGATTTCTTGTACCTATAAGTTAAATTTAAACTTTCAAACTTACTTCTTATCAAACTTTTGAATTACTTCATAGATTACCAAGTTATTTTTGCTTTATACTTATCTGCTAAATTGACGCGTATAAACGATTTGAAAGGCAAATATCTGGGTTGGTC